CTGGGTTTTAACCCTGATCTCCCACATGAAAGCCCATGGCATTAACCATTAGAGCTGTGGCAGAGGGGATTGCCAGGAGTTGGTATGCACGTGTGCAGAAAGAGGCCACATTGCCAATGCAATCTTTGACACTAAACTGCAATATATTACAATAGGACAACATTAAGACAGTATCACAGTAAAACATCAAAATACAATCATATTAATATTGTAATCACTGAATACTGAGTTTAAATATTTTTAAACTATGGTGCAGTACCATATTGTGTAGATGCAGCAGGGGGCAGTAATGGACCAATACAAGGCTCCATTGACTGCCATTGAAATGTATTAAGCGTTAATACTTCAAAAAACTATAAGTTTTACAGGYACCAAAAGGCATAGCCATCATTTGGCACAGGAGCTTTACAGATATAAMTTACAATGGCAGCTCTAGGAGAAAGTRTGCAGGAGGAGAAGCATGCCAAATTTGAGATGACTTGGATGGRAAACAAATCACAATAGTGTGCATTGCTTTGGCAATGCACACTGATTAATAATTTCCTCACGATGTTAAGGAAGCAAGAATATATGGTGGCCTCAATGACTGTGTCCAGGTCCTGCAGCTGCAAAACAGCCCAAATCATTCCCGCTCTGCCACCATGCTTGACTGTTGCCTGTGTAAAATGTTTAATTGCTTTATGACTAACATTTTTTTGTCAAAAAATATTGCTCCAGATTTCCAAAGGAAAATTAGACTTTTTTTTTCTTTTCCTTCTTTCAGTTTTTCAGGGGCCCACCTCTGTCCTCAGCACCATATCTTCTSTAACTGCATCCAAATTTTTCCTGGCAGTTGCATCCCCTCCTACCAATATAGTCCCTCCTCTGGACAYGTCCAAACCATCTCAGTCTGGTCTCTAACTTTATGTCCTTCAACCTGTGCTGGACCTCAGATGATCTCATTCCTAATGTTCTCCATCCTTCTCACTCCCAAGRTTAACATCTTCAACATTTTCAGCTCKGACGCTTCCAGTTCTGTCTCCTGTCTTTTTGTCAGTGTCTCYACAACCCAGCTCTGACTCTCTTGTAAACCTTCTTTGACCTTTTGCTGCCATGTTTTTCGTCACAAATCAGTCCTGAAACTATTCTCCATCTTGTTTGGACTCTCTTCTTCACCTCTTTATTTTCCTGGAAATTCAACCCAGAGTATATAAAGTCCTGCACCTTTGGGACCTGTACTTTAAAGATGTAACATACAGCTCTTAGATTTGTTTTTGTCCATTTTTTATGGCATCTGTTGTGAACCCTTACTAATTCTAAATAACCTGTTCTTAACCGTTGTGTTACCACAAAGTCAAATGTTTCACAGCAGCAAACTGTCAAACACTCTGCTTTCACAAGTGTTCACACTTCAGTGATCATGTTGCTGTTTTACCGTCTAAATTCTAGTTAGATTAAAGAGTGGACACAGTTTCATCACTCACCCTTTATT